TACATATAATGAAATGCTCAAATACTATCTCCATGCATCACTTAACAAGGATATGCTCTGATAAACTCATTGTTAAGTGATTTCATTGTTGTGTGAACATCAAAGAATATACGGTACTTACACAAACCTAGATGATATGGCTTATTATACACCTAAGCTATATGGTATAGCCTATTGCTTGTAGGTTACAAACCTGTACAACATGTTACTCTACTAAATATTGGAGGCAACTGTAGAAAACGAAGTAGAGGTTCCTCTTCAAAAGGACTTTCCTTCCAGTCTAATTGAGAATAAATAGTAGCCTCTCTTAGAAGCAAAATTTATTCAAATATTCTTAAATATCTGCTAGTCGTAATAAAGAAAGCAATATATTTTGTATTCTTAGCCCTCATCTTTTAGCCTAGATATTTGCCCTGGCATGCCTATACAGGCCCAAGCAAGCATTAGTTCGTAGCCTGTTCCTCTTCCTTAATTGGAGGTGTTTTGGCCTTTCTCAGCATTCCACAAGTTACTTCCTCCTTTCCTTTGTTCTCTACCTTTGCCTCTTTTGGGAAGTTCTAAGTTGCTAGCCAATCGGGACAAGTACAGAATGTAAGGTCCCGTTCCAGCCAATGGAAATTGGACACAGCCATAGGGTGGACGCGTTAGATTATAAATGACCCTGTCTCCTTTGTTCATGTGTGCTCTCGTGGCACGACTGCTAGCAAGCGGCACCCTTTCCACAGAAAGAAAATTAGCCAAGAGATCCTTTGTCTTAAGTTTTGATTTCCATAACACTGAATACCCATTTCCAACAGCAATTGTAACACAAATCACTGGGCAATAGAAATTTTTTAGCTCCATTATAATCATATGGTACCACTGTTGTGTATGTGGTTATATGTAGCACATGAATGTACACAATTTCATGAGTTCACAAAAGAACTCAAGAAAGTCTCAATTTCATCAAGATATAAAACAGTCCCATCACTCCAGAAAGTTCCTTCATATGCCTTCCCAATCACCCCACCCACAAGAGGCAACTACTTTTGTGGTTATTCTCACCATAGTTCCAGAACATATTAAAGTGAAATCATACAGTATGTACTCTCATATATTTGCCTTGTTTCACCCAAATGGCTGTGAGATTCACCTGTGTTTTTGTGTATCTCAGTACTTTGTTCCTTTTTAAGGCTGAGTAGCATTTCATCATTTAAACATACCACATATTGTTTATCCATTCTCCTGCTAATGTGCATTTGGTTGTTTCTGCTTACAACGAATACAGCTGCTGTGAATATTCTTGTACAAGACTTCTGTGGACACATTTTCAGATTGGGGGTGAGTGGTGGTAAACATTTAAGAATGGAATTGCTGGGTCATGGAGCAGGTTTATATTTAACTTTGTGTAAGAAACTGCCAAATCTTTTTCCAACGTGGTTGTACCATTTTCTATTCCAACCAAAAACATATGAGAATTTTGTTTTGTTTTGTTTTGTTTTCTGAGATGGAGTTTCGCTCTTGTTGCCGAGGCTGGAGTGCAATTGTGTGATCTCAGCTCACCACAGCCTCCGTCTCCTGGGTTCAAGTGATTCTCCTGCCTCCGCCTCCCAAGCAGCTGGGATTACAGGAATGTGCCAGCACACCCGGCTGATTTTGTATTTTGAGTAGAGATGGCGTTTCTCCATGTTGGTCAGGCTGGTCTTGAATTCCTGACATCAAGTGACCCGCCCATCTCAGGCTCCCAAAGTGCTGGGATTACAGGTGTGAGGCACCATGCCCAGCCAACATATTGAGAATTCTGTTTGCTCCACATTTTTCCCCAATACCTTGTAGCTGCACCAGATCAATCTGGTTCAACTTTTATGTAACAAATTGTGAGTTATTTTTCAGTTGCCATGGACCCTCAGCTCACATAACCTGAGCATGCCAAGATGAGCCAAGACTGCAATCTCAGGAGGAACCTAAGTGCTTGGACCAAGGAATGGGGACTGAATTAAGAAGCAGACACTGCATGGCAGGATCCAGGATCCAATCAGATCAAGCTCTGGCATCATCCCATGGTGGGATCCTGTCAGATCATGCCTCCAGCACCACCTCTGCAAGATCCAATCAGATCACGCCTTGTTATCCTACACTTATGAAACCTGACTCGGGCCCCTGCTTTGGGAACCATCCCCACGTTCTCCTTACTTGTTGCAAGTAATAAAATCCTCATGCTAAATCCTCCTTGGTTGTGAGCACCAAGTTGATGATACCCACCAAGCAACCAAATCCACATGTTGTGTGGGTTAATAACGTGGTGTTTTGAGTCCTTTTAATTGTAGCCATTCTAGGAGGCATAAAGTGGTATCGCCTTGTGATTTTAATTTACATTTTCCTGAAGCACTTTTTCATGTATTTAAAGGCTGTTCACAGATGATCTTAATCTTTGAAAAGATTTTTGCTTTAAGAACCATCATAGCAAAGAATATTTACTTCGTAGCCAGCAAAATGGGAGATTTTAATAGCTAATGTGTATATTAAAATGAAAACAGACCAGTGTGGTGGCTCACACCTGTAATCCCAGCACTTTGGGAGGCCAAGGCAGGTGGATCACGAGGTCAGGACATTGAGATCATCCTGGCTAACATGGTGAAACCCTGTCTCTACTAAAAATACAAAAAAAAAAAAGAAAAAAATTAGCCAGGCCTGGTGGCAGTCGCCTGTAGCCCCAGCTACTCGGGAGGCTCAGGCAGGAGAATGGCGTGACCCGGGAAGTGGAACTTGCGGTGAAACAAGATCACACCACTGCACTCCAGCCTGGGCAACAGAGCAAGACTTCATCTCAAACAAAGAAAGAAAAGAAAAGAAAACAAATCTAAAATTTGTCTCATTGCACTAATTACCATTAGCTTCCTGAGCATATACTGCTGTTTTCTACCTCCATGGCTTTGTAAATGCTAATTTCCTTGCTCAGAAGGCTTTTTCCATCTCTTTGTACTCTGATCTAGTGAATTCCTATTCAGCCTTCAAAACACGGCTGAGGAATGCATTACTTTCTCCATGAAGTAAAGACCCTACCAAACATATATAGTTCATTATTCCGTGTTTTATCTTGCATTTTAGTATACATAACACACGAAATGTAACTTTGTCCATGACAAGAAACATGTCTTACTCATGTTCATAACCCCAGCACCTAAACAACCACAGGCACATATTAAGAGCTCAAAAATAGCAAATGAACAAATAATGTGCTCAATTCACTTTTCTTCTCAAATTCAGAAACAGTCTTCCAAACAATAGTGGGCTGAATGCTAGCCCCTCAAAATATGTCATTTCCTAATCTTTGGATGCTATGAATATTACCTTACATAGTTTTTAAAAAGGGGTGGGGGTGATTAAATTATGGATCTTAAGAGGAGGGGCTTATGCTGGATTATGTAAGTGGGCCCAAAACAATCACATGTAACCTTCTGAGAGAGAAGGAGAGGGAGTTTTGAGACGGAAGAGGCAATGTGATCACGGAGACAGAGATTGGAAAGATATAGCCATAAGCCAAGCAAAACCTACAGCCACAAAAAGCTGGAAAAGGCAAGGAAAGGATTCTGCCCCAGAGACTTCAGAGGGAACGTGGCTTGGCCAACAACTTGATTTCTGACTTCTAATCTCTAAAACTTTGAAAGAATAATTTTGTTGTTGTTTTGAGATACTATTATATGGTAATTTGTAACAGCAGCCACAAGTAACTAATACAATGGCTTTCTCTTGTATTAATATTTACTTGTAATAAAATTTATCAAACTCAAAATTTCTAACACAATTTTAAATTCCTACCATGGTTAGACTTCTCTGATTTCGATCAGTCAACACACAGCTATCAATTATTTGCAAGACACTTACACATGCATTAGATGCCTGAAATACACAATAAAACGTCTCCTACTATGCAGAGTTTACTAAATACAAAAATTCATATTGAAAATTTTTTAAAGTAAAGTACAAAGTTCAAACAGAAATAAGGGGAAAAAAAGTGAAACATTATCTCAATCAGCCTGTTAATCAGTGAGTACTTGCTGGGCTAGTCTCAGTGAAAGGCAGTTTTTAAAAGACTAGTACAACCTTTTTCCAAATTCTTCATCTTCTCTTTGCAACCATTACAAATACATAATCACATCCATGTGTCATTCCTACCACTTCTTTTGACTGGTCCCAGCTTTACAGACCTCCATATGACATTTTATTTTGCATAGGCACTGTATTTTTTAAGCAGTGAGTAGTACAATGTCTGCCCCAAAGTATGGTAATTCAAAATATTCAAAAAGCACAGCTGCTGATGCTCATGGAAAGCTTCCAAAACACATTCCATTAAAAGCACATGCTATGCCTTTGAACATTTCAAAACAATGCTTTAAATACTACATGCCCTCAAAGTGAATGATGTTTTTTAAAAACAACATTAAAAGTCTAGGGAGGACCTACACCAGGCATTTACTTTACTTACAAACAAAACATTCGAAATGAATTTCTTCAAAATCCAGAGATAATCCTACACTAGTCACCCAAACAGCCTTTGGACAGCCATCCAGGATGTCTTGCGTACAAAAAAAATGTCACAACTTGACACCCTGCCAGAACCTGAAGTGCAGCTGGGAGCAGACCCTTCAAAGCCCTGGTAAGGTGCCAGGCTCTGTAACTGTGATTTAGAAAGAAACAAGGGAGAGCAAGGAAAGAGAAAAGGAAGAAGATATGTATTCAAGTGGTTAGCAATCAACCACCAAGCACTCTTAAATTAAAATGTTACTCTATTTTTACGATTGTGCTGTCTGCCTCTGCACAGCTTAATTCACACAAAAGAATTCTAGAAAGCAGGACATAGTAATGAGTCAACCTCAAATGCTTAGTGTAAATTACCAAAGTCTCTGAAAGTTGTGATCTGAAAGGCAAAGATGATTCTTGTCCGAATTCGTTTTAACATTTCTTAATGTAAGGTCTGTTATAATAACATGAGGACTTTGAGAAGATTTATGAGCACTCACCACTTCTGTCTCAGTTGTACATTCTTCTTTGCTCACAGTCCCACCTTTCTTCTGAAATAGAAAAGGCTACCCATAATATGGCTGCTAATACACAATAAAGATTGTCTACGGATGCAACAACATATCCTGAAAATTGTTTTTTAAATAAATCCTGATTTAATTTTATTTCCATGAGATTTATGCCTTGGTCTGAAAAGTTAAAGAGAAATTGATACTTAAAACTGAATTTAACTGATATTTTTACTGCAGTTGACACATTCTCTTTATTATTTCGAATCTGTCACAAAGCAAGTATAAAATTTTTCACAGCCAGAAAAAGGAGATAAGTAAAAGCCATCCTCAAGACATGCAGGTTAATGTTAAAACCATATACTTCTAAAAACTGATTAAACAACCAATATGATTAAGTGACTGCTATACCATATTTACTGAATGGTCTACTTATAGTAAAAGGGTTTTGAGAGATTAAAAAAAATAAATAGACCATCAAGTCAAGCACACTTCTCATCAGGAAAGAAGAACCTGCCTATATTCAGAATACTCCATGGATATTTTCTAAGTACTTTTAATATGCTAGACATTTTGTTGGATACAGGAATACAGAAATAAATAAAAGAAAACCCTTGTCCTCAAGGAGTTTACAATGGTCAGCAGAATATACTCGTTAACCAACAATTGCTGACTGAATAAGGATGAGAGAAAATGGACTATTTAAACTTTTTGGACTAAAAATTTTTTTACCATGTGCACATATTACCTATTCAAAGTCATAAATTCAGAAAGTTTTTAAATTGTAAAACATTAAGGAATTCAACAAAGAGGCGACAGGAAACACCTAAATCAAGGAAGGAGAGAGAAGTGAGGCAGTCTGCTTATCCGAGATCAGCTAAGAGCCTGGAGAGACTCCCCAGTGTGGGGAAAGGGTAAATGAGAGATGCCCAGGGGTCCACATTCCCACCATGGACACCTGCAATCCTAGCCACAGTAGAGGCCCTGGACCCTCACAGGCCCTGAAACTAACACAGGGAGCTGCATGAAGACTGCACAACAGCACTGTTTCAGAGAGGGAGCACAGGCTGGGGCACACTAACCTCCCCACTACCCATCCCGGTCCCAAGCAGCTATAGTAAGACACCGTTTTGAGAACCCAGTCCCAACAGACTGCACCTTGCGCTTGGGCTTAACAGCACCTGTCTCTTCACATCCCTGGAGTCCCGCTGACATACCCAGCCCACAGCAACCACCATGCCTGGTTCCTGATGCTGGGGCCAAGGTGCATGCCTCTGGCTCCAGTCCCACCCACTGCTTCCAGCAGTGGAGCCACCACTTATTTTCACGTGCCCAGAGTCCCTCACCCACAGCTGCCATCACTGTGCTAACAGGGCTAAGGAATAAGCAAAGCATGAACTTCCACTGCCCAGGCTAAAGCACAAGCCAAGCATGAGCTGCCACCACCAGGACTAAAATGTGAGTGAAACACAGGCTGCAATGCCAGGGCTGAAACACAAGCCAAGTAGGGTCTGCCACCACCAGGGTTAAAATGCAAGTGAAATGCATGTTTCTAATACTTGCCTGCATATAGCTGGTATCACTGAAAGCAACTCTACCCTTCCCAGCAGTAGGGCTGCAGCACAGGCACTGCCTCCCACAACATGAACATTGCGCTGAGGGCCTAAGGATCACCCTACCCCTTCCTAACACAGCCAGCACCTACAGGCACCACTGGGGAGTCTAAAGACAAGCCTACCTGGCCTTGCCCGCCCCCCATGCCAGAGCACACGATCCAGAGGCCTGGAGATCACACAACTCAGCCACCATTGGGAACTAAGGAATCTTCCCAGGAACCTGAGATTGGGCTCACCCACCCAGCTACTAACATCACAGCAAGAAAATATCATACCTCCAAAGGAACACAGTAATTCTCCGGCAACAAATCCCAATCAAAAAGAAATTCACAAAATTCTGGGAAAAGAATTTAAAATATTGATTTTAAAGAAGCTCAGTGAGATACAAGAGAATACTGAAAAATAACATAAAGAAATCAGAAAAACAATTCCTAGAATATGAATGAGAAATTTATGAAAAAGATAGGTATCATTAAAAAAAAAAAAGAATCAAATTCTGGATCTGAAGAATTCACTGAGTGAAATACAAAATACACTTGAGAACTTCAACAACAGACTAGATCAAGCAGAAGAAAGAACCTCAGAACCTGAAGATAGGTCTTTCAAATAACCCAATCAGACAAAAGATAAAGAAGAATAAAAAACAATGAGTAAAGCCTTTGTGACACATGGGCAGCATAAGGCAACTAAATACTCTCATTTTCAGAGTCTCAGAAGGCAAAGAGAAAATAAAATGCATAGAAAACCTGCTTAATGAAATAACAGATAAAAACTTCCCAAGTCTAGCAAGGGATTTAAACATCCAGACAGAAGAGGCTCAAAGATTCCCAAACAAATACAATACAGAAAGGTCTTCCACAAAGCACGTTATAGTCAAACTGTCAAAAATCAAAGACAAAAAGAGAATTCTAAAAACAGCAAAAGAAAGTGTCTAGTTACTTATAAAGGAATCCCCATGAGACTAATGGCAGATTTCTCAACAAAAACCGTACAGGCCAGGAGACAATGGGACGACATATTCAAAGTGCTGGGGAAAAAACCCAAAACTCTCAGCCAAGGATACTATACCCAGAAAAGTTATCATAAATGAAGGAGAAATAAAATCTTTCTCAGTCAAGCAAAAGCTGAGGGAATTCATCACCACTAGATCAGCCCTATGAGAAATGTTTAAGGGAGTCTTACGCCTGGAAAATATACAAAAATATAAAATCCACTAGTAGAGCAAACACACAAGCAAGGAAAAGACTCAAATGTTACCACTACAGAATGCCATCAAACAATAATAATAAATAAGAACAAAGGACAATTAGAAATCAATTAATAAAATGACAGAAACAAGCCCCTACATATCCATAACAACCTTGAATGTAAATGGATTAAACATCATTCCACTGAAAAACAGACTAGCTGAATAAATCTTTAAAATTAAAATAGAACAAAACACGACCCAACCATATACTACTTAAAAGAAATTTATCTAACCTATAAAAACACACAGACTGAAAGTAAAGGGATGGGAAAAGACATTCTATGCAAACAGAAACTAAAAGGGAGCAGGAGCAGGAGTAGCTATACATGTATCTGTTAAAATAGGCTTTAAGTCAAAAACAGCAAAAAGAGACAAAAGTCATGATGTAATAGTAAAAGGATCAATTCAGCAAGAGGATAACAATTCTAAACATATATGCACCCAACACAAGAGCACCCAGATATACAAAGGAAACATTATTACACCCAAAAAGAAATCCACGAATAGCCAATAGTTTTGACGATGGCACCAAGAACATATATTTGGAAAAGAATGTCCCCTTCAATAAATGATGCTGGGAAAACTGAATATCCGTATGCAGAAAAATTAAATTGAATCCCTACGTCTCATATGTACAAAAATCAACTCAAGATGGATCAAAGACGGAAACATAAGACCCAAGACTATAAAATTACTAGAAGAAAACATAGGGAAAACACTTCAGGACATTGGTCTCAGCAAAGATATTATGGCTAACACTTCAAAAGCACAGAAAACAAGAACAAAAATAGACAAATGGGACTATATTAAACTAAAAAGCTTCAACACAGCAAAGGAAACAACCAACAGAGTGAAGGAAAAAACCCATTGAATGGGAGAAAATATTTGCAAACCATTCATCTGACAAGGGACTAATACCTAGAATACACAAGGAAGTCAAAACTTAACAGAAAAAAAACAAAAACAAAAAAGTCTCATTAAAACGTGGGCAAAGGCCACAAATAAACATTTCTCAAAAGAAGACATACAAACGACCAACGGGTACATGAAAAAATGCTCAACATCACTAATTACCAGGGAAATGCAAATCAAAACCACAGTAACATATCATCTTATCCCAATTAGAATGGCTATTATAAAAAAAAAAGTAGTAACAACAGATGCTGGCAAGGATGTGGAGAAAAAGGGAACACTTGCTGCTGGTAGGAATGTAAATTAGTACAGCTACTATGAAAAACAGCATGACGATTTCTCAAAAAACTAAAAATAGAACTAGCATACAATCTAGTAATCCCACAATGGGGTATTTATTCAAAGGAAAAGATATCAGCATGTCAAAGAGATACCTGGACTTACGTGGTTATTGCAGCACTATTCACAATAGCAAAGATACAGAATCAACTCAAGGGTACATTAATGGATGAACTGAATTTTTTTTTTTTTTTTTTTTTTTTTTTTTTTTTGATACAGAGTCTCGCTCTGTCGCCCAGGCTAGAGTGCTGGAGTGCAGTGGTGCAAACTCGGTTCACTGCAAGCTCTGCCTCCCGGGTTCACACCATTCTCTTGCCTCAGCCTCCCAAGTAGCTGGGGCTACAGGCACCTGCCACGATGCTGGGCTAATTTTTTTTTTGTATTTTTAGTAAAGACAAGGTTTCACCGTGTTAGCCAGGACAGTCTCAATGTCCTGGCCTCGTGATCCGCCCACCTTGGCCTCCCAAAGTGCTGGGATTATAGGCAGGAGCCACTGCACCTGACCTGAACTGATTTTTTAAAATGTGGTATATATACATGGTGAAATACTACTCAGCTATGAGAAAGAATGAAATCATGTCATTTGTAGCAATATGGATAAAGCTGGAGGTCATTACAATAAGTGAAATAATCCAGGCACAAAAAGACAAATACCACATGTTCTAACTCATGTGGGAGCTTAAAAAAAAAGTTGATCTCATAGAGGTAGAAAATAAAATGATATAAAGGCCAGGAAGTATGTGTGTGGGGGAAGGTGGGATAAAGGAAGTTTGGTTAATGAATACAGATATCCAGTTAGATAGACAATACAAGTTCTAATGTTGCACAGCAGAATACAGTTAATAATAATTAATTTGAATCATATATATTTCAAAGTAGCTACAAGAGAGGACTTGAAATATTCCCAACACATAGAAATGGTAAACACTCAAGGTGATGTATACCCCAAGTACCCTGACTTGATCATTACACATTCTATGCATGTAACAAATACACATGTACCCCATAAATATGTAAATTATGTGCCAGTTTAAAAAAAGAGGAACTTCCAAAAAATTATAAAAATATTATAACATATTTACCAGTAGTATGAATGGACAAGGGAGAGAACCCTAGTTCTGCTAGTGAAGTTGCCAGGGGAAACTTCACAAAGCAGCAGCTAAAATTAAGAAAGGGATGCAAGGAAGAAACATCAAGTGCAAAGTCTTGGAGATTAAGGAGAAGAACATTAGGGGTGGAGGGCAGGGGAGAGGAAAACACCCTGGGGAGGTAAGGTAGAGCCTTGAAGGCCACATGCAGAAGACTGGAGTTTATCCCATGGTCTTGGAGAGCCAATGAAAGACTTTACACTTAGATGGATAGAAGACATTATAGGGTAGACTCACATTTACATTTCAGAAAAATAAGTGGTTTATTTGTGGAGGACAGATTCGAGGAGGAGGAATAGAAGAAAGAGAAAAAGGAGATCAAAGGTCCAGGAAAGCAATAATGAGGGCCTTAACTAAGACAGTAGCAGCAGGTAGTCAATAATCTTGAAAATTAATTTGAAGCCAGGCACAGTGGCTCACACCTATAATCCTAGCACTTTAGGAGGTCAAGGCAGGCAGATGGCTTGAGCTCAGCAGTTCAAGAACAGCTTGGGCAACATGGTAAAAGCCTGTCTCTATGAAAAATACTAAAATTAGCCAGGTAAGGTAGCATGCACCTATGGTCCCAGCTACTCAGGAGGCTGAGGTGGGAGGATCGCCTGAGCCCAGGAGGGTCGAGGCTGCAGTGAGCCGAGATTGCACCACTGCACTCCAGCCTGGGTGACACGGTGAGACCCTGTCCCGAAAGGAAAGGAAACGAAAGGAGAAGAGAAGAGAGAGGAGAGAGGAAAGAGAAGGGAGGGGAGGGGAAAGGAGAGGAGGGGAGAGGAGAGGAGAGGGAAAAATTAACTTGGGGGCAGTAAGAGCAGGAGTTAATAATTAGATACCTATACCCAACCCCCAGCAAAAAGTATTTTAATGTCACTAGTTAAAAGGTCAATCAGGAAACCAAGATAGGAAAGCAAAGAACACTAAAATGGAATCCAGTTAAAATGGAAGAAAGGCTGTTTCAAAGATTACAATTACTTCATGCGCTAATCCTACATAAGAATGAGGAATCCTGTACACTGACCTTTGGCAAATCAATCTTAGTAAACTGCAAAAACCATCACTGTAAAACACTCAGAATATCCACCTTTCTTCCATAGGGATTTCAAAAGCAGAGGGGCAAACTCTAAAGCTGGCTCTGTCAGGAACAAAGACATAAAATGAGGATTTTGTTCCTTAAATGTCCACCTGCTGCTACTCCTCCTCATTCTTTCCTTCAAACAAATCATCTCTATAGCAACACACTCTAAAAGAATTTGTGGGTGGAAAGCATATGTTTGTGAAAAAATATGAGAACTCAAGAACATGAGCTATTTTATTTTTTTCTTTAATATAAGAGATACACAATATATTAGGTTACAACTAAAAAATAAGGAACAGATGTGAAAAAAAATGTTTAAACACACAAAAAATGTAAAAATTGTACAACTGATACCGCAAATGTTTACATGGAAATTCTTTTTACAGGTTACAATGACACCTTGTGGTAAGACTTTTCAAATTATACAAATTATCTTAGAAAATATTTTTTACAGCAGAGACGCAAGAAAACCGGCTTAGAAAATAGGAAAGCTCGAAACCATAGTAATGAGATAATTTGTACAAGTATAATAATATATTTGAAAAATTAAGGTTGAGAAATCAAACTCTTAAAAATGTCACAACATTAGGTAGGCAAAAGCACTTTACAAACTGTAAACACAAGTTGAATATCCCTTCTGCAAAATGCCTGGGACCAGAAGGATTTCAGATTTTGAATTTTTTCAGATTTTAGAATATTTGCATATACATAATGAGTATCTTGGGGATGAGATGCAAGTCTAAACATAAAATTCATTTATGTTCCATATATACCTTATACATACACATAGCCTGAAGGTAATTTTATTTTTCCCTTGAGGATGCTTAATAAACTGTATGTTGTACGCCTGCATTTTGACTGCAACCCATCATACGAGGTCAGGTTTGAAATTTTCCACATGGTGTCATGTTGGTGCTCAAAAAGTTTCAGATTTTACAGCATTCTGGATTGTGGGATTAGGGATCCTCAACCTGTATAAAGCATTATACTAGTCCCTTCACTTGAACTGAAATTATTAAATACTCTTCCTTATTCTCTGGTCCCTTATCCCATCTCGTAAGAAAAGTCAAGCTGCACCTCTCAAAGCTTCATCTATTACTTGATCTGAATGATACTGAAATTTGCACCCTAGTTCCTAACCTCTCTCCGCTTATAAATCCCCCTCTACTCACATGTTCTTTCTACAATAGAAGCGCAAAGATGGGATTTAAGACATATTTTGAATTTACCCAAAATATGGCACCTTGGCATTTGAGAAAAAAGTAGAAGCAAGAAGGTTTAGCTCACCTTCCTCTAAAGTAGGTCATAAGATCCTCAATCCAGAGGGGTCCTCCCTATACCTGTAGGAAAGAAGACACAAAGAGGAATCTGAACAAACGGGACTTACTAAGTTTCCCCCAGTTTATTACTGCTAGAGCATATCCATTTGTCCTCTAATGATACTTCTGCATGACTGTCCACAAAAAAACAGAGAGACAGACGCTTTGAAAAAAGCAGCTTACTGATGCAAATGCCACAAGACAGCCAAAAATCTCCGAAGACAAAAGACATGAACTCTCCGGAGCTCTATGGGCCTGTCCATCGTCTGAGAAACCTCAGTACTTACCCTGCCAACGTAGGGCAAGATTATACCCCCTTCTACTACTGCAGCTGCTGCTCTCTTGAAAGTGCCACCTCCTGACTGGAGGCCAACCGACTCAAGCCATTACAGCAACTCATAACAGAACAACTCTGTTCCAAAAGAGAAAACAACAGCTAATTCCACTGCCTGCAACACTCACAGGTCCTGAGTCTGCCCACATGACAACTTCAACTGCTAGCCTAACCAGCATTCACTCCCCTGCCACCTCCACTGGAGCAGGTGCCAGTATCCACAGTTCGGAGACCTGAGACAGACTGTATCACAAGACAACTTGCAGACATTCGCTAGCATCAGCCTGGAGCCCAGTAACCCTGCTGGGTGGCTAGATCCAGAACGGTAATAACAATCACCTCAGTCTGGCTGTTAGGAAGCCCCATCCCTAGGGGAAACGGGTGACTCCACATCAAGGAATCACCTCGTGGGACAAAAAAAAAAAAAAAAATGTGAACAGCAGTCCTTCAGTTCCAGATCTTTCCAATGAAACATACAAATGAAAAGGAACTAGAAAAGTAATTCTAGTAATATGACAAAACAAAGTTTGACAACAAAAAGATCACACTAGCTCTCCAGCAATGGATCCAAACCAAGAACAAATCTCTGAATTGCCAGATAAAGAATTTGGAAGGTTGATTATTAAGCTACTCAAGGGGGCACCAGAGAAAAGTGAAAACCAACTTGAACAAATAAAAAAATAAAATAAAAATAAAATAAAAAACAGGATATGGATGAAAAAGTCTCCAGAGAAATATGCATCATAAAAACAAGACAACCACAACTTCTGGAAATTAAATACACACTTAGAGAAACACAAAATACACTGGAAAGTTCCAACAACAGAATTAAACAAGTAGAAGAAAGAACTTTAGAGCTCAAAGACAGGGCCCTCAAATTAACCCAATCTGACAAAGACAACGAAAAAATAATTTTAGCTGGGTGCAGTGGCTCAGCCTATAATCCCAACACCTCAGGAGGCCAAGGCAGGTGGACCACAAGGTCAGGAGATCAAGACCATCCTGCCTAACACGGTGAAATCCCATCTCCACTAAAAATACAAAAAATTAGCCAGGCATGGTGGCACACACCTCTAGTCCCAGTTACTCAAGGGGCTGAGGCAGGAGAATCACTTAAACCTGGGAGAAGGAGGTTGCAGTGAGCCAAGATCGTGCCACTGCACTCCAGCCTGGGCAACAGAGAAACTCCATCTCAAAAAAAAAAAAAGAAAAAGAAAAAGAAAAAGAAAGAAACAAAGAAAGAAAAAGAAAAGAAAAGAAAAAATTATTTACTTTTAACATCCCAAGTTTCTTTTTTTAAAAATTATTAAAAAAAAAAAAAAAAAAGAAACTTGGGATGTTAAAAGACCCAACATAAGAATAACTGCTGTCCCTAAGGAAGAAGAGAAATCTAAAAGTTTAGAAAACTATTTGAGGGAATAATTGAGGAAAACTTCCCCGGTTTTGATAGAGATCTAGACATCCAAATACAAGCAGCTTGGCCAGATGTGGTGGCTCCTGCCTGTAATCCAGCACTTTGGGAGGCCAACGTGGGAGGATCACTCAAGGTCAGGAGTTTGACACCAGCCTGGCCAACACGGTGAAACCTCGACTAAACAAAAAAATATATATATATTAGCCAGGCATGGTGGTGTGTGCCTGTAGTCCCAGCTACTCAGGAGGCTGAGGTAGGACAATCGCCTGAACCTGGAAGGCAGAGGCTGCAAGGAGCCAAGATCGCGCCACTGCACTCCAGCCTGGGCGACAGAGAGAGAGTTGGTCTAAAACACACACACACACACACACACACACACACACAAGAAGCTCAAAGAACACCCAGGAAATTTATCACAAAAAGATCAACACCAAGGCACACAGTCATCAGGTTATCTAAAGTCACGACAAAGGAAAGAATCTTAACAGCTGTGAGGCAAAAGCATCAACCTACAAAGGAAGCATTTTCCTACAAAGGAAAACCTAATAGATTAACAGCAGATTTCTCAGCAGAAACCCTACAAGCTAGAAGAAATTGGGTCTCCTTAAACAAAAATTTATCAACCAATAATTCTGTATCCAGCAAAACTAAATTTCATAATGAAAGAGCAATAAAGTCTTTTTCAGACAAACAAACAACGGCATGGTACTGGCATAAAAACAGGCACATAGATCAGTGGAACAGAATAGACAACCCAGAAACAAAGCCAAGTACTCACAGTCAACTGATATTTGATAAAGCAAACAAAAACATAAAGTAGAGAAAGGACAACCTATTCAACAAATGGTGCTGGGACAATTGGCAAGCCACATGTGGAAGAATGAAAGCGGAATCTCAACTCTCACCTTATACAAACATCAACTCAAGATGGATTAAAGACTTAAATCTAAGACCTGAAACCAGAAAAATTCTAGAAAATCACATCAGAAAAACTCTTCTAGACATTGGCTTAGGCAAAGAGTTCATGACCAAGAACCAAACGCAACAAAAATGAAAATAAATGGATGGAACTTAATTAAACTAAAAAGCTTCAGCATAGCAAAAGAAATAATCAGCAGAGCGAACACGCAACCCACAGAGTGGGAGAAAATATTCACAAACTATGCATTTCACAAAGGACTAATATCCAGAATCTACAAGGAACTCAAACAAATCTGCAAGAAAAAAAAAAATATTCCCATCAAAAACTGGGGAAAGGACATGAATAGACAATTCTCAAAAGATATACAAATGGCCAACAGACATATGAAAAAATGCTCAACATCACTATCAGCCAAATGCAAATCAAAACCACAATGTGCTACCACCTTACTCTTCCAAGAATGGCCATAATTCAAAAACCAAAAAATGATAGATGGTGATGGAGATGTGGTGAAAAGCAAACACTTTTACACTGCTGGTGGGAAGGTAAACTAGTACAACCACTATAGAAAACAGCTTGGATATTCCTTAAAGAACTAAAAGTAGACTGGGCGAGGTGGCTCATGCCTATAATCCCAGCACTTTGGGAGGCTGAGGTGGGCAGATCACGAGGCCAGGAGATGGAGACCATCCTGATGAACACAGTGAAACCCTGTCTCTACTAAAAATACAAAACAAAAATTAGCCAGGCGTGGTGGTGGGTGCCTGTAGTCCCAGCTACTCAGGAGGCTGAGGCAGGGGAATGGCGTGAACCCATGAAGTGGAGCTTGCAGTGAGCAGAGATCGCACCACTGCACTCCAGCCTGGGCAACAGAGCAAGACTCCATCTCAAAAAAAAAAAAAAAAGTAAAAGCAGAACTACCATTTGATCCAGCAATCTCACTATTGAGCATCTACCCAGAGGAAAAGTCATTATATGAAAAAGACACTCGAATATGCATGTTTACAGCAGCACATTTGCAACTGCAAAAATATGGAATCAGCCTAAATGCCCATCAACCAATGAGTAAAGAAAATGTGGTATATATATACCATGCAATACTACTCAGCCATAAAAAGGAATGAAATAACAGCATTCACAGCAACCGAGATAGAGTTGGAGGCCATTATTCTAACTGAAATAACTCAGGAATGGAAAACCAAACACCATATGTTCTCATAAGTGGGAGCTAAGCTACGAGGATGCAAAGTCATAAGAATGATATAATGGACTCTGGGGACCTGGGGAGAAGGGTGGGAGGGGGTGAGGGTTAAAAGACTGCACACTGGGTGCGTGTACACCACTCAAGTGATGGGTGCAGCAAAATCTCAGAAATCACCACTAAAGAAGTTATCCATGTAACCAAACATCACCTGTTCCCCCAAAACTATTGAAATAATAATTTTTTTAGAAAAACACAGAAAGAAAGGTTTCCCTGTTTATTTCAGTCTTCATTTCTGAAGACTCATATAAAGTAAAGCTTTCATTAAATAAATGTGTATGCTTTCCTCTTGATAATGTCTTTTGTTATAGGGGTCTCAGTCATGAATCCAGTAATAGGTGAGGAAAAGTTATCACATTTTATCCACTACATCAACCTAACAAGAATTCAGTTCATTAGGTTCAAATTTTCTACTTCTCTTCTTAAAAAAGTCAGTTACCACTATCCTCCTCTCATTTAACCACTACCCATCCTCTATCCTCTATTTGTAACAAATTAATCCTGCTGATTCTTCATCATCTATTTGTTGAATATAATCATTCTTCCCCATTTTGGGAGCCATCACACTCCAGTGCCGAATCTTAAATACTTTAAACTTAACAGAAGCCTCCTAGATGGTGTCCTAGACTTTAGTCTTTTCTCATTCTTACATGGCCTACAAATATCACCAAAACAATCTTTCTCATACACTGCCTTCGTCACTACAACTCCTATGATAATGCTTATTCTTTTCTGACTCAAATCTAAATTTCCCAGCTAAACTCTCAGCCCTGTATTAGCCAGCTCCCTACACAAATTCAAACATTTTGCTGCCCCACAGGACCCCTGTGCTACAGTCAATTAAGTTTACTTTACAGACTCTCAAACACATTTCTCTTTGCCTTCAAAACTTTGTTCATAGTTATGCCAAACTAAAATACCTTCTTAAATCCTGTCAATTAATCCACAAATCACAATCACAGTCAAACCTGAAACCCTATAGTCTGCAAAATCACAAAACTATTTTCAGAGTTTTAGTTGCTCTAAAAGTGAACAAAAAGAGTAGCTTTTGCCCATGTGCTTCATAGGTTCCTGCCTTCCTTGTGCTTGCCGCAGGATATTTATTCTATATATACATATACATTTTTTTGAGACGGAGCCTGACCCTGTCACCCAGGCTGGAGTACAATGGCGCAATCTCAGCTCACTGCAACCTCTGCACCCCGGTTTCAAGTGATTCTCCTGCCTCAGCCTCCCGAGTGGCTGGGATTACAGGCACGCACCACGCCTGGCTATTTTTCGTATTTTTAGAGACAGGGTTTCACCGTGTTGGCAAGGCTGGTCTCGAACTCCTGATCTCAAGTGATCCACCCACCTCGGCCTCCCAAAGTGCTGGGATTACAGGCATGAGTCACTGTTCCCAGCCTAATTTATTCCATATTCTATAACGTCTGCACTTTTCCCCTCCAGATGCTTTATAACCATATAAACTATCTTCAACTGTTTTGGTCATCTTCATAGCTCCGAATTCCTGTAAACTGTTAATGACAGTAAAGTGATCCACAAAATTTCTATGATGTAAATCCTACTCTCCCATAGGCTTATAATGTAATTTCAGAGAAACCTTGGGGAAGGATGTCACCGAGAACACTGTTTGCTAACCAATTATGCATGCATTAAAGTTAGTTATCAAGAAATTTCTATCTCAGGCCAGGTGTGGTGGCTCACGCCTGTAATCCCAGTACTTTGGGAGGCTGAGGTGGGCAGATCACCTAAGGTCGGAAGTTCGAGATCAGCCTGGCCAACACGGTGAAACCCCTTCTCTACTAAAGATACAAAAATTAGCCAGGCATGGTGGCAGGCACCTGTAATTGCAGCTACTCAGGAGGCTGAGGCAAGAGAATCACTTGAACCTGGGAGGCGGGGAGGTTCCAGTGGCCCAAGATCACACCACTGCACTCCAGCCTGGGCAACAAGAGCAAAACTCCAACTCAAAAAAGAACAGAAAAGATATTTCTACCTGGAGGACAGTTTACTAAGCAAAAGCTTTCAAAATGAATATATCTTGTGACTTAATAATTCTAATTTTAGGAATTAATCCTGAGAAACTAATTAGAGATGCAGAAACATTTATGTTCAAGAATCTTCTTTTATTTGTCATTCAGTAAGTGTTTATTGAGTGTATCCTAAATTCCAGGTAGGAGTGGAAGACAGAATCAGTTCTTATCCTCATGGTACTAACTTAATAGTGGTGTTTACAATGGAAAGAGACTATTAAAAAAGCAGGTCATGGCCAGGTGTGGTGGCTCATGCCTGTAACCCCAGCATTTTGGGAGGTCAAGGTGGGAGGATCACTTCATCCCAAGAGTTCAAGATCAGCCTGGGCAACATAGTGAGACTCTATGTCTATAATTGTTTTTAAAAAGCAGGTTACAATAGTAAGATATGCCATATTTGTGGATCAGAAAATTCAATATTGTTAAGAAGTTAATTTCTCCCAAATTCAATGCAATGTCATTCAAAATACTGAGGTAGTTTTCATAGAAATTAACAAGCCGATTCTAAAATTCATATGGAAACACAAGGGACCTAGAAGAGCCAAAAAAAAAAAAAAAAAAAAAACTTTGAAAAAGAACAGTTAGAAGACTTGTATTACCTGACTTCACTTATTAAAGTGCATAGAAATAAAAATTATGTAGTATTACATCAGAGTCACAAAAATCCGTTAAACAAAAAAGACTGTCCTGAAATACAGTCAAATATAAAGTCAATTGATTTCTGACAAAAATGCAGTCAGTTCAGTGAAGAAAAAATAGTCTTTTCAAAAAATGGTCCTGGAACAATTGCCTTTTCCATAGACACACACACACACACACACACACACACACACAAAGAACTTCAAGTTGCTCCTTACACCATGTACAAAAATAGAATCAAAATAAATCAGAGGCCTGAATTAAAAACCTAAACTATAAACCTCCTTAAAAAAAATACAGGAGAAAATCATTTTGATCTTAGGTTAAGACTTCTCAGATATAACACCAAAAGCACAATCCATAAAAGAAAAAACTGACAAACTGGATTTCATCAAAATTAAGAACTTCAAAATCCACTGTTACATAAGTGAAAAGATACACCAGACTTGGGAAAAACTGCAAATCATAAATCTGATAAAGGACTTGCACCCAGAATAAAGAACTCTCAAAACTAAATGATAGGAAAATAAACAATCAAAAATTTTTAATGAGCAAAACATTTAAATGGACACTCACCAAAAATGATTAAGTAAACATTTGTTTGTATTTTCCAAGTACTCCAGTTTCTTCTTCTCATATCCTAAAGATGTGCACGTTAGGTTCACCGGGAGATCGAAACTGTCCCAGTAGGCATGAGTATGGGTGTGTGTTTAAGTGCACCATGCAATGGAATGTCATCCTGTCCACGGTTGGTTCCGTGCCAGGACAGGCTCTGGCCACCAGAAAGCCTGAACCCTAGAGCAGGTTGGAAAATGAATGAATGAATGAATGAATGAATGAATACAAATTATTGTAAAATGAAATTTCAAATAAAGTATATAGTCATGTAAATGCATGACAATACATTATGTAGTACAAAAGCACTCTTATCAAGCCTGCCATATTTGTGATTATTTTTGAACTGCATGATAGTAAGAGGTGCCCCTTATAATTTTTGTTTTGCAAACATTTATTTCTTGGTTTAACCCACCACCACTATGACCACTGTCACTCACTGGTTAACCAAAAATTAGGTAAGTAACTATCTTACTTGTTTTTACTAATCTTTCTTAAACATTACAGCTCACATTTATTTCAACGTTTAATGTAGGAAGTGTCTTGGGTATTTATTTAGAAGTTTGAAGAAGTTTTTTGACCAGAGATATGCCATAGGAATTTAACTACTGTTTTTATCAATTAGCCTAGGGTTGGTTTCATTATACATCATTTCACTTAAAGTCAGTTTCCAAGAACCTATCAATAACATTAAGTGACAGCAGGGCGTGGTGGCTCACGCCTGTAATCCCAGCACTTTGGGAGGCCGAGGCAGGGAGATCACGAGGTCAGGAGACTGAGACTATCCTAGCCAACATGGTGAAACCCCATCTCTACTAAAAAATACAAAAATTAGCCAGGTGTGGTGGTGCACACCTATAGTCCCAGCTACTCGGAAGGCTAAGGCAAGAGAATCACTTGAACCTGACATGCGGAAGTTGCAGTGAGCCGAGATCACGCCACTGTACTCCAGCCTGGCAACAGAGCAAGACTCCATCTCAAAAAAAAAATAATAATAATAATGTTAAGTGATAACATACTGTATATGAAATATGCAGTGGGAGTTCCAGAAGGTCAGGAAAGAGAGAAAGAGGCAGAAAAGAAGTTTTGAAGAAATAATCGCCAAACACTTCTCTAATTTAATGAAAAACATTAATTGACACATCTAAACAGCCCAACAAATCCAAAGAAACCCGCAAATGCTGAAAGACAAAGAGGAAACCTTAAAAAAGGAGCGAGAGAAAAATGACTTCACATACACGGCAACATTATTAACGCTGATTTCTCATCAGAAATGACATGGAAAAAAACAAATTTTTAAAAGAAACACAAAAAACTCACCACTAAAATTTCTATATTCAGCAAAACTGCCCTTCAAAAATGAAGATGAAATAAAGATATTGCCAGATAGATAACCAAAGATGAAGAGAAGTCGTTGCTGTGAGACATGCCTTATGAGAAATAACAAAGGAAGTCCTTCAGGATAAAAGTCACACCATAGAATAACTTTAATCTAGGCTGGGCACGGTGGCTCATGCCTGTAATTGTAGCAGTTTGAGAGGCCAAGGTGGGTGGTTGACTTGAGCCCAGAAGTTCGAGACCAGCCTGGGCAACATGGCAAAACCCCATCTCTACAAAAAAATAGCCAGGTGTGGTGGCCTGTAGTTCCAGCTACTTGAGAGGCTGAGGCAGGAGGATTGCTTGAACTGGGTGAGCAGAGGCTGCAGTGAGCTAAGATCACACCATTGCATTGCACTCCAGCCTGGAAAACAGAAGGAGAACCTGTCTGAAAAAAAAGAAAAATAATACTCTATAGGAGAATGAAGCTCATTGGAAACAGTAATTACATCGGTAAATATTAAAGACTGTAAAAATATAATTATTTTCACTTCATCTCCTTTAAAGACATAAGACTACATAAAGGAATAATTATAGTACTGTATTGCTGGGTTTGTAATACATACAGCTGTAATATATATAATAATAATAGCACCAAAAAGAGAAAAAAGAGATACACTGGAGAAAAGTTTCTATAATTTATCAGAATTTAGTATTATTCTGAAGGAGACTGTAATTAAGTTAAAAGGCATATTGTAATCCCTAAAAATATAGCAAAAGAAATCAACAGAATTAAAAAGATACACTAAAGAATATTTAACACAGAAAGATGGTAAAGAGGAAAAAGCAAAAAACAAATGAGACAAATAGAAAAACATGAAAAATGCAGATGTAAATCCAATAATATCAACAATTACATTAAATGTGAATGAACTAAACACTCTATTCAAAGGGGGGATTATGTTAGAATGGATTACAAAACCTAACTATAGGCTGCCAACAAGAGATAAATCTTCAATTCAAAGACACAAATAGGTTAAAAATTAAAAGGATTTAAAAAAAACAAACTACACCATAGAAGCAGTAACCATAAAAAAACCAGAGTGACTATAGTACCAAGAAAAATAGATTTTAAGATAAGAAATATTACAGACAAAGGAGGACATTTCATAATGAAAAAAGGGTCACTATATCAGGAAGATATAACAATAACTGTCCATCTAACAAAAGAACTCCAAAATACATGAAGCAAAAAAATAGAGATAATTTAAAAGAGAAATAGATAATTCAACAAAAACGGTTGAAGACTGCAATGACTTATAGAACGAGACAGAAAATCTGCAAGGATATGGAAGACTTGACTAACCTCATCAATAAACTTGACATAACTGACAGAAAACACTACCCAATGATTACAGAATATACATCTTTTTCACACACACAAAGAAAATTTTCCAGGATACACCACATACTGGGGCACAAGACAAGTCTCGATAAAATTTAAAAGATTGAACTCATAAAAAATGTGTGATCTAATCACAATGGAATTAGTCATCCAAACAAAAATAAATCTGGGAACACCTCAATTATTGGTAAATTTAAAAACATACCTCTAAATAAGCCATTGATCAAATAAGAAATTGCGAGGAAAAATTTTAAAATGTATTTCAAATTGAATGAAAACAAAACACAGCAAACCAAAATGTACAGAATGCAACTAAAGCAGTGCTTAGAGGAAAATGTCTAGTTTTAAACATTTATATGAGAAAAGAAAAAAAGTCTCGAACCAATAATCTAAGCTTCCATCTTAGGAAATTAGAAAAACAAGGAGCAGAAGGGACATTAAACCCAAAACAAGCAGAAAAATAATAATTTTTAGCGTGGAAATCAGTGAAATAGAAAATATAAATATGAAAAATAATCAATGAAATAAAAGGTTGGTTCTTTGGAAAGAGCAACAGAATCGGGAGAAAAAAAAAACTTCGCTAGACTGACCAAGAAAATAAGAGATACAAATTACCAAAATCAAGAATGAAAGAGGGAGAATTATTACCAAACTTAAATTATTAACTTAGAGGATTTCTTAATACAAACTTTGTATCAACAAATTAGATAATTTATATGAAATGGACTACACTTCCTAGAACCTACAAATTACCAAAACTCTAGAAGAAAGAGAAAATCTGAAAAGACCTATAACAAGAAGTGAAGAAACTGAATTAATAATTTTAAATATTCCCACAAAGAAATGGCCAGGCCCCCACAACTGCACTAATGAATGCTATCAAACATTTAAAGCAGTAAGAACAAGATCACGAGAAACCAAAAGACTAATATCCCTCAGGAACATATACGCAAAATTCCTTAACAATAATCAGACAAACCATATTCAACAACATATAACAGAGATTATATAGCACGGACTGGGTATGGTGGCTTAAGCCTGTAGTCCCAGCACTTTGGGAGTCCAAGCAAGTAAACCGCTTGACCCAAGGAGTTCAAGAACAGCCCAGGCAACATGGCAAAACCCTGTCTCTACAAAAAATACCAAAAAAAGAAAAAGAAAGAAAAATAGCCAGGTGTGGTGGCATGAGCCTGTAGCCCCAGCCACTGGGGAGGCTGAGGCAGGAGAAACACATCAGCCCAGGAGTTCAAGGCTGCAGTGAGCCAAAATCACACCATTGCACTTCAGCCTGGGTCACAGAGTAAGACTGTCTCAAACACTATAAAAAAAATAAAATAAAATAAAATAAAAAACGGTTTTACAGCATGACCAAGTGCGATCTGTCCCAGCAATACAAGATGGGTTTAATCTCCAATAATCAATTAATATATAACATATTAACAGAATAAAAATCATATAACCATATCATCAGATGCAGGAAAAAACATGACAAAATCTAACACCTACTCATGATTAAAAACTCACAACAAACTAAGAACATAAGGGAGCTTCCTTAACCTTCTTCAAAGGACATCTATAGAAAATCTAGAGCTAACATTATACCTGATGGTAAAAATATGCATGTTTTCCCCCTAAGACTGGGAGTAATGCAATGCACATTCAACACTTCTCTTCAACATCGTACTGGAGGGTCTAACCCAAGAATTAAAGCAAAAATGAAGAAATAAATAACATTGAGATTGGAAAGAAAAAGTATCATTGTTTTGAGACACGATCATCTATGTACAAATAATATGCAAAAATTGGCAGCATTTTTTTTTTTTTTAAGACGGAGTCTCGCTCTGTCCTCTAGGCTGGAGTGCAGTTGGAGTGATCTCGGCTCACTGTAAGCTCCGCCTCCCAGGTTCACACCATTCTCCTGCCTCAGCCTCCCGAGTAGCTGGGACTACAGGTGCCCACCACCACACCCGGCTAATTTTTTTCTATTTTTAGTAGAGACAGGGTTTCACCGTGTTAGCCACAATGGTCTCGATCTCCTGATCTCATGATCCACCCACCTCGGCCTCCCAAAGTGCTGGGATTACAGGCGTGAGTCACCACACCTGGTTGGTTGCATTTCTTTATGCTAACAATGAACAATTTGAAATCAAATCATGAAAAATCCATTTCTAAGAGCATCAAAATTATAAGTCTTAGGAATAAATTTAACCAAAGAAGTGCAAGATTTGTACACTGAAAAGTGAAAAACATTATTAAGAGAAATTAAAGATCTAAGTAAATGGAGAGATATTACATGTTCATGGACTGGAAGACTCAAGTTTTTTAAGTTAGTGATTCCTCCCAGATTGATGGAGAGATTCAGGGCAAATCCTACAAATATTAGATTTGTTTTTGTAGAAATTAACAAGCTGATCCTAAATTGTATATGGAAATGGAAAGAACATAGCATCAATTTTGA